GATAAAATTTGGAATAGTCCAAATTCACAACATAATTGGACTTTCTAATGAAAATAGTGAAGGAAAAACACTAGACCTTTTGGGAGGTAAACCACAGCAGCAGAATATGACTACCTGTAGATTCATTCTATGGAGCGTTTAGGCTGCTTTGACAAAGGAGTAAGTGTGAGAGAAGAAGGTTGAGGGAGATGGTAGATACCAGAGGTCAACAGATAGAAATAGACAGAGAAAATACCTGTTGAATTAACCTTATCAGGCCTGTACAAACAAACTCTCTCATCCTTTTACATTGCCTGACCTTGATTCAACAAGGTATTGAGGTACAAAGAGAATTGGTTCCTTAAGCTGGGAAATCTTCCCCAGATGCATTAAAACAGTCATTATGGTGACTATTGTTGAGAAAGCAGAAGAGAAAGCTTCAAACTGCTACTTCTGAAGAGCTTGCGTCCTTGGTTAAGTATGTTATTTTGAATGTTGCATTCTTAGTTTGGATTGCTTAAAAACTCTAGAAGTCTGTTGTCATCTCCAAACCCAATTCCTGAATGCTTAAGGGACTGGGAAGAATAAGTTTCAACAGACCCTCTACACCTTTGGAGAGTCCATTGTTTGTTTTCTGGTTCTCATTAGCCAGCTCTCCTCTTCTTTGTGTACAAGAATCTTTGCCAGAGTGAGCTAAAACACTTTCAAAAAGAATTTTGTGGATACTCAAACAGCTATCAAGAGAGGCCATCTTGTCATAGCTATCCCGCATCTAACCTGGTTGAGCTGTTGACCAGCTGATCAAGTGTTCTGCCCTGTGCTGAATGATACAATTTATATCAAATATGAAGTGTGCCTAATTTTCATTTGACATTTAGAATATGACTACACTGACTTAGATTAAATCCAAGATTTAATTATGACATCTAAATTTGGGGTGGGATGGGGAACTATTTATTGCTGAAGGATGTGAAAGCTATTACTGTAAGATTAATGCTCCAAGACATAAAATGCATTTCTGAATCCGTCCTTTTATATATAACAGCTATTTTGAAGTATAAATATTTGCATACCATTTCTGGCAGTAAAATTATAATCAGATTCTGTATTAACAGCACAACCCTATGCATGACTTAAATAAATGTAAAACCTCCTTATTTCTAAGGGGCCTTTGCTAGGTATGTAAAAGTAAGACTGCAGCCAAGGAGGATCAGATTCTGTGCCAAAGACGTCTATTGGATTATCAGTATGAGCTTTGTACACAGCTGAATCTGCAACTCATCAAAACATTGTCTGCTTCCAAGACCACTTAACCAGTCTTTAGTAAATAGATATGGGTCAGACCAATATTTGGTTAATCTTAACATTGTTATTGCCTTGGGCCTGGTTAGGCCACCAACATCTTATGAGAAATGTACTCATATTTCTAATCTGATTTTCCCCTTACATTGTTTTAGTATTGTAGTCAAATAAACATGTGATATCCTTGAATTACAGGTATTCTACTGTCCAGGCAGATGTTAAGTTTTTTCAATGTCATTTCACTATGGGAAGATCTTAGGAGAGATTGCAAGAGCACATGTATTCCTCATAGTCTAACATTTCAGCCTCATTATAGCAATAGCACTTAGACTTATATACCACTTCTCTCTAGGCAGTTTAAAGTTTCAGCATATTGCCCCCAACAATCTGGGTCCTCATTTTACCGACCTCAGAAGGATTGAAGGCTGAGTCAACATTGAGCCTGGTGAGATACGATCTGCCAAATTGCAGGCAGCCAGCAGAAGTAGCCTGCAGCACAGCGGGTTGAGCCCTTCTCGCTGATGGACTGTAGATCGTGACTGTCCGCGGCTATGGTCCGTGCTCTTTCGTTGGAGAGCCCCGATCATTGCGATTAGGGGTTGAAGCTGCCTTGGTGGGGCGGTGGAGTAAGGGGAAGCCACCAGCCAGGTTGAGGGGAGCTGCATCTCCCCTTCTGGGCTTGGTCTTTTTCCCCCTGAAGATGACTGAAGCGGTGGTCCAAAATGGCCACCCTGAAGAGGAGGACTCAGCTGGACTAAGATTTGTGCAGGAGTGAAGAAAGAGGTGGATAACATCTGAGCCGGGACAATTGGGCAAAACAACCAAACAAAAAGTACCCTGGGATTAAGGTAACATTGAACTTTTAAGAAAAGAAAAGTGAGTGGCAAAAATACAAAGGGACAGGAAAAAAATAAGAAAATAATTTTGACAGCTAAGCAGGGCTTCGAACTGGAAAAGGAAGAAGCCGGAACTAAAGACTTAATTAAATTGGATTAAAATATTTTGGCAATAAACAGGCATAAAATAAAGCTGGACTTAAGATTGTCAAAAAATAATAATAATAACATTTACAAATTGGAGACTGGATTGCTTTGGAATATTGAGGTTCGAAAAACCCTAAATAATAAAATAGGGGAAAAGGTGAAGACTTTGTATAACGCAGAGTGCCATCTTGTGGACAAAAACTTAAATTCAAATAAAAGGGAAAACATCCTGTTTCCTTATGAACTTGTGTTGATACAATGTTAAAGAAATATTGAAACAAAGTAAGAATCTTAGAAAGTGAAAGCAGAACCAGAATAAAGAAAAAAGCAAGGAAAGACTGACTGTGGGATTGACTGATGTTTTTGGTATAGACCCTGGGTTGGAACAATTGAGAACTTTAGAAAACTTAAAGAAGAAAGAAGGAAAGTAAAAGTGTTTTTTGTGGATTTCAACGATTATAAAATATAAGAGTGTATAATGACGATATCTCTTCGGGAATTAAAAATGGAAATTAAAAATATGAAAGAATTATTACAGGAAAGAGTGAATCACTTTGCTCTGTGTTAGAAGAAATGTGAAATGGCGTTTGAAGAACAAAAAGAAAGAATTTCAGAGGAGGAGGAGTCAGCTCAAGGAGAAGCCATCTTAAATAAACAATTAACACAAAGAACACTACAAAGACGAGGGGAAAGAAGGAAGGCTAAAAAGTTGAGATTTAAGAAGCTAATCAAAAAGGGGAATACTTGTGAAATCAGGAGAGGTAGAAAGGTGCAGCAGAAAAGGGGAAAGGAAGATATCAAGAAAGAGGGATATAAACAGGAATGAGAAAAGATATGGGAAAAAGAGGGGGAGGAGAGGCAGTAAGAAACAGGCACAGGAAATAAAGAAACACGGAAATAGTAAAATGATGAAAAAAAAGTTTTTATAGAGATAATGATTGATGAATTAAAAAGGGGATTCTGCAGGATGACAAGGGGTAACAAAAATATATTTGCAATTAAAAATACTTCGAAAAGAGGGTAATATAGATTATCAAAGGAGGGATAGATACTGATAACTCTTATTAGATGAATATACATTTTTATTTTTATCTTTAAAAGAAAAGTTAAGGTCTATTGAAGAAATTGTAATAATTGAAATGAATGTGAAGATGTTTAAAAATGAGGTCAATATCAGTGACCAGGAATTAAATAGTCAATTTTTTTTCCCTTTTACTCTTTTGAAATTAGAAATAAAATTAAGGGGGAAAAATATATTGCGGAATCCAAATGAAAAGATGTAATGATTATTATTGTAACTACTTAAAAATAAAGGTTTATTGGGAATTAAGATGAGGGAATAAAGGTATATTTCAACCACTGAGGTGTCACACTCAAAGCAGAAAAGGGGGTAATCAAAAAGGGGAATACTTGTGAAATCAGGAGAGGTAGAAAAAATATGCTTGTTTCTTTTTCTCTTGTGTTAAAACTTGTATTAATCTAGAATTTATAGAAAAAATGTATGAGGAAAAGAAAATATGACAGATTAAAGAACCAATTAAATTAATAAGATAATACAGACTATTAAAAGGAAGGAGAGCCATTGGTAATTTTTTTTATTAGGCAAACATATATTGTTATTTTTATTCTTAAAATAAATATTAAAGGACTATATTTGAAATAATTGAAATAAAATGAAAGGATGTTTGGATTGAGATTAATGTAAGAGATTAGGATTAATTTGCTTGTTTTTCTCTTTTCTGAAAGTTTGGAATGGAAAATGTAATAATAGAATTAAGTATGCATATATGAATGTATAACTATTGTCATATTTGTATGTAAAAGTGATGATCCGGAAATATGTTGTCCACTAAGAAGAGCTTTTTGTTTTTATGTGAAAAATTGAATAAAACTTGTTTAATAATAAAAAAAAAGAAGTAGCCTGCAGCACTGTAGTCTAACCACTGTGCCACCACTGGAAAGGAAGCCTTGGGAAAGGATAAGGAGATGGACAGGACGTATCAGTTGTTAGAATGCAACAGTGGGAGTAGGCCACCTCATTGTGAGCATCCAGAATGATATCTACAGAATGCTGGATTAGATTAGGTTGTGATCCATCAGGGCTGTCCTTTCAATTCCCTTCTTCCTTATGCTGCTTCCCTACGAAGGGAAGAAAAACTCACCACTTCAAACCATTTGACCAAAGTGCTGAAATTGGGATTTTTCTTATAATTCTGAATAAGAGATGACTGGACCCCTCTTCCAGCACATTCAATGTCCACTCGAGGTCTATCCACCTGGGCCAAGTTCACTCGCTTCAGGTCTCTCAATCCCCAGAACAAAATCTAGAAGGAAGTTGAACCAGAGATTAAAAGAGGAGTCTATTATAGTTAGACAATTGGAAACGCCAAAAAGATAAAGAGACCAAGGATGTAAACAACGCAAATCCAATTAACATACATATTTAAGAAATATAACAAGACAATGTAAGAAATGTTACCAGGAAGCTTAAGAAACTCCTTAAGAAACAAATAATAGAACAATTTCATCATTATGAATATTGTTGGCCTAACACTCCTACATGGGAAAGGAAAAGCTCAGTTTAAGTTAATTTAGTTATAAAACAAGGGCTGAAATGTTAAAGGTTTCAAAAGATATATATTCTAAATTGTTGAAATTCTTGCTTTGATATTTATTTGACTCACAGCTAAATTACTATTCATAAGTTTCCCATGATGCTTTTGCTCATGATTGTATATATGTAATTATATCTTCCAACCTCTCATTTTGTTCTATTTCTTGTAAAATAAAACCAAAGGTTTCATGTGGGGACATACAGTATATATACAAAAATCTAGACACACACAAACATGCAGAAGATTGTGAATCTGTGCCCAGTAATCAACTCTGCTTTGGAAGATAAAGGCAAGAGATGTTTTCATTCCATATAATACCTCTGACAGTTCACATAACCACTCAGAATTGTCTTATAGGGGAGATGTGCAGCATGGAAATTTGATTAATAAATAATAAATAAACAAAACAGTTTTCCAAAGGGAACCATCAGTTTATTGAGGGTGCCTATAATATGGTCTGCAATATGGATTTGGTGCTAAACAGATACTTACAAACTCACAATAGTTGTCCAAAGAATTCACATTACCTCTACTCGGTATTTGCTCAGAACAGGGCGAATCCCCAGAGGGACAGGCAAGATAGGACCCCGCTCCATATCTGTGGGTCCACTGATGGGAGGCAGATCTGATTTCCCAGCTGGTCCAATCTGGAAGATAGAAGGCTGATATGAGAGAGATTCTACTTTTTTAGCATCTTAATCTTTGCAAGCATGATGCATTGTATGTTGGGAAGGTAGTTTTCATTTATAAGTTTCCTATGATTTGGAGGTCTAGAGACTCTCTCTCTCTCTCTCTCTCTCTCTCTCTCTCTCTCTCTCACACACACACACACACACACACACACACACACAGAGAGAGTTCTGTTTTAGGGAAATTACATTAGTGCTTCTTGCTTCGTTTCTAGCTAATTAAGAAAATCCAATTACAACATTTTATCTGGGATTTAAAAGAAGTTAATTGAAGGATGAAAAGGGCTGGTAACAAGCAATGGCATAGCCGTTACAGGGGAAAGCACAAATGATGCAAAATAAAAGGAACAAGTGATAAACAATGCGTGATGCAAATAGATCCTTGGACTAAGAGACACAAAGGCATAATAACAAGTATTTTGTTTGATCTTAACAGTCCAGACAATTTGAGAAGCATCTTAATTTGCAGCACAAATGATTGGTGACCGCCAGAAAGATCTGCCTTTCTCATTATAAGGAAGCTAAGAAAATGGATATGAGAGAAGGGCAGTGGAAGAGAGAAATGGGGAGATCCATGAAACAAACCCTATTCTCAAATAGAAAAGAAGATGGAAAAACGAATGTCCATTTTCAGAAATGAAATAACATAAGATTCTGTCGTATGAGGGTTCCATTTGTAGGGCTTACTCTATGCAATCCATCTGCAGAAAAGTCTGAGTTACCTTGATAGCAAGTATATTACTCAATTATTTTGCCTCTTGTTCTTTCACAAATGCCCCATTTTATCCAGTGAGACAAGTAAGTGGCTTTTGTTGTCTAAATCCACCATATTTTAAATGGACGTGAGGGGGCTAGGGGAGAATATGAAACACTACCAATAAATATCTCAGATAGGCAGGGGACAACACCCATCCCAATTTGGGTCCCATCCACTTCCATCAACCAGAATGTTTTACATCCAGGATTAACTCTGAAACAAATGAATTTGCCTAATGAGGTTTCAAGCCTGGATAGTCCATTTGTACTCTAAAACACCACATTTCATTCCATTACCTGAAGGAGTTCAAAGGCAGCCAGTAGGTCTCCAGCAGTTGAGTTACCCCGATAGATCTGGTAATACTCCAACTGAGGTGGGAAACGTGGAGGGCAATATTTCTCATCTGACATCTTTACCACAGGTTTGGCAAATGTTCGGCCCATGAAGTCAGCCTTCCCCTGAAAATATACAGAAATCATCATCCTAATCCTTCCCAGGAGCTCCAAAGGACCACTGCTGGGTGCCTTCCAGTTGAAATTTTATTCAAAACAAGACTATTTACATCTTGATCTCCAGTCCACCCTCAGGGAAATAAATTGATGAAAAGTTCAGGATTAAAGTAGCCAGACAAGCTATTCTTTAGATCTCAGCCTCCCTCAAAAATAAATGCTTACTATTTACCTCTGAGAAATGCATACAGCAGTGCAGGAGTGATGCTGTTTTTCATTGATGAACTGTCCCTTCCTTACAACATTTTTAGACGTACAGAAAGAACCTGGACCTGAGCCTGCCCCTAACTATCTAGTTTAGTTGCCAAACAGCAATATATTACATTACATTAAGAAATATATAATGATAATTTGTGATAATTATAGATACTTAATGATATTCCTGAGGGATACCAGGAGATGTTCTTACTGGAGGCTTCTAAATTTATACAATAAATACCTGTAAAAAAAGAACTTCTGTCTCGTTTTATGGACTATTGTCTCACTAGTCTTCTCTTACCACGGTATCCTGGTCATAGATTTCAATGACAATAATGGGAGGGTCATCCCGCATCTCATGTGCTTCTCCATATAGCTCAACATTGTCAAATACCAGCAATTGGTCCCAGGTAGGACAAAGTGTTTCATTCAAGACCTGTGGGTGGAGATAGCGAAAAATTAAATATGTCCAATATCTCTTCTTCATCTCCACATCTTCTTTTGGCTTCCATTCTACAGGGTGGGTTTTGGTTGTTGTTGTTAATATAAAACAGAAATCTTTCACTTTGTTTTGAATTTGAAACTTAACATTATTATACTAAGCTCAGCATTCTGATCCCTTTTTCAATCAGACTTTGTTTGGTTCATAGTCAAGTTGTTTTCTGTGGCCATATCTTAATTATGGAATTCTTTCTCTAGAGAAATACAAAAGGCTTTCATAATGAGCATATCTAATACGCTGAAAACATATTTACTCAAGGACACCATGTATAATTAGCTTTAATTATACGGGGAAATTTTCCATCTGTAAGGAACAAAGATGTCAAACGGTCCAAAGAGAACTAAAAATGCTTGTTATGCATGGAATATTTACTGACTAGAAAACAAGCAGATAATGAAGAATGGAATAGAATGGAGCATGGAATTGGGAAAAAAGTCTTGAAACATTTTGTTGTTGCTATAAATATGCTGTTTCTTTTTACTGTTACTTTAGTTACATATGCATGCATAAGCTCATGCATTCATTGACATATATCTTATGGCAACTCTAGAATAACTATGAATTTTTATTATTTATTTATCCATTCAGCAAACATATATGACTGTTCACTTAGCATAATAACAACAATAGCAACAAAATACATTATTTATCCATATTATTTATGGATTAATATTATTAATATTATTTATTTATCCATTCAGCAAACATATATGACTGTTCACTTAGCATAATAACAACAATAGCAACAAAATACATAAGTAAGTTAAAAGAAGAATGCTGCGTCACTATAACCAATGCCTGATCCATATATTTCACACCCACACACCCACATCACAGTATACTCCATTCATAACTGGGGGAAAAGCCAGGTCTTTGGGGTTGTCTGAATCTCTTTGAGGTGGGTATGCCAGGAAGGAGGTGCTATTTCCTTGACCCAACCAGATGACATAGCTTTATCAAAATGACACACTGTGTTGGCATCTAGTAGAACAGTCAAAAGCTACCAGGGATGTTATGTTGACATGGGAATGGCACACAATGCTGCACCAGAGTTGACAATGCTTGGAGCATCATGAAGCAGGACTTCTGATTTTCATAATAGAGCAGAAGAAAGAATGCATAAAAGAAATTATGTATAAAGATAAAGAATTAGTCCTACGTTATTTACGGATTTAGAAGGATGAATGAGTACATTGTTTTCATTATTTTAAAATGTTTTAAGTGTTTTAATTGCATATTTTTTGAATTGTAAGCCACCCAGAATCACTGACTGAAATGGAAATTGAAATAGAAATTGAATGAATGAATGAGTGAACGAACAAAAGAACTCCCCCCATTGAATATGTAGCCAATAACATGGAACATCATCTGAGACACATCACCAGGCAACTACCAAGCAAAGGCATTCTGAAATTCTGGCATAGACTACAGTGTTGCATGGTTGATGCATGTAAAAAACAGGCAACGTTTTGATCACACCCTTGAAGGTACCATCTCATCTTTTTTTTTACCTTGCAGGCACCCCTGATAAATCACCAAAAACAGAATTTCTACACGCTGCACCTTCCAGATGTGGTAACCTCCATTACTCTAGGTAGCACAGCTGTCACATGTCTCAAATGGAGTTTCTAGGAATTGTAACACAGCATTCCTGGAGGACAAAGAGTGGGAAAGGCTGGCCTACAGCAACACTTCTTGAGTCAGGCAGCTGCCATCTTACCTCAGTGCATTGACCTTGAGTGATAAAGAAAACCCTGGCAAAAGGGTCAGAAAGGCCACTGCTGTCTGCAGCGAACAAACTCCGGGCCTGGTACATATGGGCTCGGAGCTGGAAGACTTGTTTCTCTGTGATGGAAAGGACAAAGATTATTGGTTACATTCAGGATTAGATGCAGGATTAGATTTTTGGGAAAAGAAAAAGAATGAAATCATTTTTGCAATAGGCCTTTGCCTTGAATCCGGGATCAGTTTTCAAAATTAATACCTAGAAAACCATGCACCTTAATAACGCTGGCGATATATTCTCAGATATAGCCTCATTACAGTGTTAAGCAGAATGCCAACATTTTGCATGACAAATTATGGAAGAAAAGCAACAGAATATTGGAAGATGGAGCTGTGGAGTGCCAAAAAAACCTGGTCCCACATTAATCTAGCCTGCCATTCAAGTAACATCGAAGCAGCTAATGTTTAAATGAGATCCATCCACCCCAGGGACCTCTGAGTCTGGAACTGCTGGGGGGGAACATCATTTTATATCAGAAAATGTGTTATTTATTTATTTTATTTATTTTTATTTATTAGATTGGTCAATCACTTACAAGATAATAGATATAAGAATTAACATGAATATGAATACAGGAAATAGGTACAAATAAATGGGGACAATAGGACAGGGACGGTTGGCACAATTGTGTGCTTATGCACGCCCCTTACAGACCTCTTAGGAATGGGGTGAGGTCAATAGTGGATAGTTTAAGGGTAAAGGAGTGGGGGTTTGAAAATGTGACAACAGAGTCAGGTAGTGCATTCCAGGCATTGACTACTCTGTTGCTGAAGCCATACTTTCTGCAATCAAGTTTGGAGCGGTTTATATTGAGTTTGTATCTGTTGTGTGCTCTTGTATTGTTGCGGTTGAAGCTGGTAGGACATTGTAGCAGATAATTTTGTGTACTATGCTTAAGTCCAACCATAGGTGATGTAGTTCTAGGTTGTCCAAGCTCAAAATCTTAAGTCTGGTTGTGTAGGGTATTCTGTTGTGAGCAGAGGAGTGTAGTACTCTTCTCATGAAATACTTCTGGACTTGCTCAATTGTATTAATTGTATTGTGTTTTGACAGATCTTCTTCCACTTCTGCATTGTGTGAGAGAAGAAATCCTGTCTGTGCCTTGTGTCCCCACTCCCCATCCCACCAAAAACAAAGGAGATATTTTCTTACTAGTATAGAGGAGGCTGATGGGTGGGAAATTTAGGAGACCTTGTCCCGCAGGAAGTTTCTTCTCCTCAAAGCCACAGGGGAGGCCACTGAGGAAATCCTTCCTCTGTTTGTTGAGTCCTAGCCACAAATAAATTTCCATTTTGGCTTGTACTGTCCAGCCGGCTGGCCCAAATCCCCTTTTCCCAGGTAACTGAAAAAAGATGAGTCAAGGAAGGGAACAGGTTAACAGGTTGTGTTTTCATCAGTCTATCAGAATCCTTCTAATTTATTCCCATTTTTGAGTTCTGAAACTCATGAAGTTATCACAAACACTACTATTTAAACCAAAGCTTAAAAAAAATACTAGCAAAACCATTAAATTTGGTTGGAAATGACTGACACTGTAATCAAAGAACATTGGGTTGAATTTTTTTTAAAAAAAAGTCTTCTTATATGTTTAAATGCTCAAAATTAAACACGTTTAACATTTTGGGTTTATCAAATGTATATATTTTTTCAATGACTAAAATGTTCTGGATTTGGAAAAACACAAATATCCAATTGCAAAACATTATTTTTCTTCAATATATGGTTCAGGTTTTGCCTTCCCCGCTGAATGCTGAACCAGCCTGTTGTAGCAGAAATAACTTCTGAATTGCAGCAACAAACTGCAAAGTCTGTGGAAAGTTGCCAGTATGTTTGTTTGTTTTTCTTAAGTTCCTAACATGTTACATGATGAAGCTCTCAACAATTCTGGATTGTGAAAAGCTTCAGCTGAAATTCACAGGACCACTTCCACCCTTGTTGCCTTACAGATAAAGGGGAATCTGTGGATAAGGAGGATTGTAATATCCTGGCAAATTTATATCCCTCCATTCTTTTTTTTTTTCCACACATGTTTCTCATATCCTTCTTCCCCCATCTACGGTAGAAAACGAAATGTTAGTCAGATAGAGAAAGACACATTAAGTCACCTTGAGGAAAACCGTCTTCACTTTTCCACAGTCTTTGCCTGTTTCCTCATCCACAATGGAGTAGAGGATATCCTTGGAGGGGATACGGGCATAGGCTATGCGCTTGCCATTGCTCATCATCCAGATGAAAATCTCAGGAATGCTGTGCTGAGGCTGAAAATGACAGGCAGAGAGAAGAAGAACAGGGATTGGTGGGCATGATGAACCAAGCACCAGAGATGGTATTCAGCAGGTTCTGACCAGTTCTGGAGAACCGGTAGCAAAAATTTTGAGGTTAGTGGGGTGGAGAGGGAATGGGTTTTGCAGTAACCTTCCTTCAAGAGTGGGGAGGTAATGGGGATTTTACAGTATCCTTCCCCTGCCATGCCCACCAAGCCACGCCCACCAAGCCATGTCATGCCCACCAAGCCACACCCATAGAATCAGTAGTAAAAAGCACCATCCCTTCACTCAATCCATTTCTTTATCCATTTCAGTTGTGAATATGGAACTCTGCTAGAGATCAAAAACTTTTGGGAATTTCTACTTTCCATGTCTTCAAGGAAAAAACAAAGAAAGTCCAAGTGACTTTGGAAAAGCACTTTCAGGATAACCCTGATGAGGATGCCTGAGAGTCTCCATAGACACTTAGATCTTCCTTCCTATTCAGGACAGAGGGTTAAAGTGTTGGTCCCCATAACACGGATGTTGCACCATCAAATCTGCAGCTATTTCCTTCCTTGATTGAAACGAAAACAGTACTGCAAGGAGCAGGCCTCTGTATGCCCCTGCAGACTTGAATCATCCTTCACGCCCAGGGTGTACATATAAATCCTTCACACCAAGGTGTACATATAAAGGGGGACAACTTTATGAATGAATAAAACTTAGTCTCACCTCATCTGCAAGGAACCGCAGCTTTTGTAGGAAGTTTTGGGATTGCTTCAGCTTGTCCCTGATAGTGGTCTTCTTCACCTGAGATCTCATGGTCTTAGCTTGCTGGCCCATCGTTTCCTATGGGGTGAAAAAAGAAGTGGAGAAAAAGAAATGAGGCTGAAAGACAAAACAAAAGACTGCAAGAATATGCATTCAGAAGGGGATGCACCTAATGTACCTGGCACATAAGACATGTTTAAGCTAAAGAGGAACAGGACAAGAAAATCCTACTGATATTACTTAGTCTGGCAACAAAATATTCAGAAACTAAATTGAAAGAAGCTTGGAGAGCAAACCACTGCCAAAATCTAATGTACCAGTGCCTACTTCTGACCACAGAACAATGGAGTTCTATTTCATATTCTTTATTAATATCTAAACTATCCTGTTAGATTATTCTAACAGAAAAGATTTTAAGATTTATACAATCTGAACAGAAACCAGAGTACATTCTTAAGGAATGTAATTCATGTTCTACAGTGTATTCCTAAACCTGGTTTTGCTCCATGAGCCTAGCATGACCATATTTGAGGCTTAGGGTTTTCCAGTGATTCAGAAAGAAGCAGTATTGGTGCCTAAAATTGCTCACTGGGATATGAATGCAAAAAGCACATTGGAGAGAAGTGTTCTTAATGGCTTGTCTTTATTTGCCTTTATTGGGGCATTGTAACTCTTTAGCTGGACTTTGGTGTATAAAATTGATGGTATTCTCTTGGATTTAAAAAAGCAGATATCCAGGGTCCAAAAGTGATAACTTGCAATACTTGGGACGTGTGAGCCTGTGGATCTCAAGAACATGGGTCTGATTTTCTCCTTGGCCAGTTTTGCCATCTATAAAGTCTTACCTGGTTGGTTAAAACTTCTGAGAAGAGGATTCATTGTGAGAATGGGGGAGAGATTGTCTGTCTTGAAAGAGAAACCAGGTTGTTTCCCTTTCCAATAGCCCAGCCCTGGACCCAATGAGTTACAAGAACTAACATCTTCTTTCAATTTTCCCTTCTTGGGGAAGTCTATGAAGGTGATAGTAAAGCAATTTACAGATTTCCCAGAAAAAGTTTATTTGCCCATAGGCAGTCTGGATTCAAGGCTGGGTTCAGATAGAAATTACACCGTTTGCCTGCATGGATAACTTATCGCAAGGCTAGAGTTTAAAGAGTGATCCATCTTTGTCCTACATTTCTCAGTGGCCATCAGAACTGTGGACCATAATATCCTTTCAGGTTAGCTGAAGACATTGTGAGCAACATTTTATGGTGATTATGCTAATTACTGTGTGGATAATCCCATCTGATAATTATGAGGGAGGAGAGAGTGAGTTATCAGGTCCTTTAATGTAGAATGCTTGACCCTCTGGCCTATTTTATTCAACATCTATACAAAGAGGCTATCCAATGATTCTGGATAAGGTACCATAAATATGTGGATGATGCCAGTTATTATAAAACATCATGATTCAAATGAATCATTTAGTAGAATCTCTAACCCAGTGTCTTGACAACGCACTATGAAATATTTTGTGCATTACAAAGAAAGAAAGAAGGAAGGAAGGAAGGAAGGAAAGAAGGAAGGAAGGAAGGAAGGAAGGAAAGAAAGAAAGAAAGAAAGAAAGAAAGAAAGAAAGAAAGAAAGAAAGCAGGAGGGAGGGAGGAAGAAAGGAAGGAGGGAAGGAAGGAAGAAAAAGAAGTTTGCACAGGTATATCACATGTATCAACCCAGGAGCAAGTAAAACCAACAGTGGTTTGTACAACAGAGTACAACAATGAAATACTGGTTTTTATCTACAATAGGAATATTATACATACACATGCTACAAACTGTGTCGAAACAAACAGCAATTACAGCAGGGAAAAAAACTCTGCATACTGCAAACACTCTAACAGGGCCTCCTCTTATTACACAAGCTCTTAAAGAGATAACAGCCAAAGATCCTGCTGACTCATTCCCATCATTGCTTCAGCTAGTCAGCTCTTAAATTATCACCTTGACAGGAAGGAAGGAAGGAAGGAAGGAAGGAAGGAAGGAAGGAAGGAAGGGTGCTCACCAGTTCCCGCATGCAGGATTTCAGTCTTTCCCGGTCCAGACGTGTCCGGGAGGAGTGGTTGTGATCTTTGTTGGAGAGAGACACAAATCTCCTGTGGAAAGAGGATATTGTGAAAAAAGAGAGAATTGTGACTACAAAATTCAGTCCTCAAACTTTTATCCTTTAATATTTGATTATTGAATATAAAAGAGCAATTTTAACAAATTTACTGGTGATAGAAAATGATGATGGGTAAGGGGGTGCATGACTAGTAGATAGAAACAAAAAGGAGTTGTGGAATGGGACACATACATCTTCCTTTCTGCTCTTTTTCCTTTCTTGGAATTTCCCTGTTTTCCAAAATGCCAGGCTGCAGTTATTATGTACCAAGATAGCATCTACTTCTGCTCTTAGCAACCCTTGAAAATATTTTATATTCCATAATATATACATGTTTAATTAGACAACGATTTCTATATTTTTCAAAGTGGGTCTTTCAAACAAAACTAATTTTGAAGTGGTACAATACTTTCAAAAATTCAGCATGTGGTACTTAAAGCTAAAATTGAAAAGAAAGAAAGGAGAGATTAAATTTCTCTAAAGAGCCAAAATAACAAAACATTGTTACAAGAAACAAATGAAAGATGCGGTAAGTATCTTTCCTTCTTCAAGGAAATAAGTTTTAAAGCTGTGGACAATTAACTAATATTCTAGAATTTCCAGATGGAAAGCAACATTATACAGGATATTGGTAGTTTTTTGTTTTAGAAGCCAATATGACTAATTGACTAACAATTCTATGCAGTTTCCAAAAGCCTTTTGACTATGTTAACAGAAATGTCTAGAATTGGTAGATAGATGGATAGATGGATAGATGGATGGATGGACGGAAATTGACCACATGGACTCAAACTATAAAGAGGCTGACCATCCTTACTTTACTGGAACCTTCATAAGAAGGAATGATTTGGAGAAGATGAAGTAAAATTCAGAGACAGTTCATTGTTTGAATCCATCAAAACAAGACCAATCCAGACAATACATACTGATTTTACTGCCGTGTTTTTTAAGTGAAGGAAAAAATACCGCTGTCCAGTCATGTCTGATTCTAGGTAGTGGTGCTCATCTCCATTTCTTAGCCAGCATTGTCCAAAGACTATTTCCATGATTAGGTGACCAGAAAGACTATATGTCGAAGCACACGGAACACTGTTAACCTTCCTACCAAAGTGGTACCTATTTATCTACTTGCATTTGCAGGCTTTAAACTGCTGGGTGGGCAGGAGCTGAGGTATGTAATGGGAGCTCACCCTGTTGCATGGTGCTCGGCTCTTGAACCTGGGTTGCCAGCTGACAAGCTCAGTGTCTTTAACCACTGAGCCATCTTAGAGATAAACCTCACCAATTGTTCAAATCAAGGTCCTTAAGAGGCCTACTCCCTCAGGAGGGAAAGATAACTTCATTAGCATCCCCAATCCCCTTTCCTGACTTACAGACATCCACTGCTCAGTTCTTCCAGCACTCCTCGGAGACGGCGCTCTGGATGTGGTTTTTCAGTTTTGATCATCTCATGCACATCATTGAGGCCTTCTTCCTAAAGGAGCAGAAGTTATTTTTCAGTAGGCAGGGCTACAATGGGAGATTTGCACCTGTCGTTCCAGAGACATTTCAAGTGATGCGGTGGCCTAGAGGTAGAGCTCTTGCCTCACAATCAGGAGGCTGTGAGTTCAGTCTAGGTAGAGGCAGATATTTCTCTCTCTGGGCACAATGAGAATATATCTGCTGAACAAAACTCCATATTGGCAACAGGAAGGGCATCTGGCCAGTAAATACTCAGCTCCATTCAGTTGCCAAGACTCCACCCCCCAAAAGGGATTATGGGGTCATTAAAAGGAGGTGATGATAACTCCAGAGGCATTACATTCCAACCCACCCCCATCTTCCTCTCATCTTCCTGTCTCCCTTGCAGAAACTCACCAGCTTGTCTGCAATCTTATCAATGATATTTGAATTGTACAGACGTCGCCTCTGGTCCTGCCACCAACTCTTGATATAAATACAAGGCTTCTTATCAAAATACGGTAAGTGAAAATAGTTCCTGTAATAGCAAGAGAAAAGAGTGACATACTTCCATTCAGTATCATAAAAGCTCCCCCCACCTCCTCTTTGTGCTTTTCTCTAATAGTGGTAGTCTTCAACTTACATTTCATTTAGCAACTATTCAGAGTTACAACAACACTGAAAAAAGTGCCTTATGAGTGTTTTTCACACTTGTTGTAGCATGCCCATGGTCGTGTGACCAAAATTCAGGTGCTTGCCACTGACTCATATTTATGATGGTTGCAGTGCCTTGGGGGTCATATGATCATCCCCTCCCACTTGTGATTGTAGGACTGTAACTTTGTCGCTTGTATCCTTACGATTTATATTGACTGTTTCCTAGTATGATTTGATCGCTTATTGTACCCTATGACTATCATCAAGTGTTGTACGTTATGATTCTCGACTCTTGACAAATGTATCTTTTCTTTTATGTATACTGAGAGTATTTATACTAAGACAAATTCCTTGTGTGTCCAATCACTTGGCCAATAAAGTATTCTGTTCTGTTCTGTTCTGCTCTGCTCTGCTCTACTCTACTCTACTCTACTCTACTCTACTCTGTTCTATTCTATTCTATTCTATTCTATTCTATTCTATTCTATTCTATT